TAAATGAATAAACTTAAAAATATGGGGCGCCCAGGTGGCTCAGTCAGTTAAGCATCCGACTTCGGCTCAGGTCATGATCTTGCGGTTTGTGAGTTCGAGCCCCGCGTCGGCCTCTGTGCTGATAGCTCGGAGCCTGGAGCCTTGCTTCGGATTCTGTGTCTCCTTCTCTCTCTGCCCCTCCGCCACTCATGCTCTGTCTCTCTCTCTCCCAAAAATAAATAAAAACATTTATAAATAAATAGATAGATAGATAGATAGATAGATAGATAGATAGATAAAATCCCGACAGTACGCATTCGCAGCCCTTCCAGTTGGTGGACAAGAATGCATCCACATGGGTGGGTAACCTTCCCCAAACTCCACGGGGACAGAAGCTCCTGTGCCTGGACCCTTCTGGACCTCACCCTATGTATCTCTTCACCTGGCTGTTCATTTATGTCCTTAAATATCCTTTGTAATAAATCCAGAAATTTAATAAGTAAACTGTTTTCCCGAGTTCTGTGACCCACTCTGGCAAATGCCCGAACTCGAGGAGGGGGTCACAGAAACCTCCGATTTATAGCTGGCCCATCAGAAGCACAGGTGTCTGAACTGGGGGTCGTCCTATAGGACCGAGCCCTCAGCCTGTGGGATCTGACGTTAACTGCGAGTCAAGAGTGTCAGCATTGAGTTAAATTGTAGGACATCCTGCTGGCATCTGAGAATTGTTTGGTTTTGGAAAAACCCCTCACATCTGATGAGCAGAAGTGTAGCGTGTTGTAGTCGAGAACAGAGTTGTTCTTCTTACCCAGCAGTACCCACTCTGGGGAGCCAAAAGGCTGAAACAACCCAAGTGCCCACCAACAGATGAATTGATAAGCCAGATATGGCCTCTACAGGGACACAATGGAACATTATTCACCCATAAAAAGGGATGAAGCTCTGATACATGCTTCCACAGGGATGCTCTTTGAAAACACTATGCCGAAGGGCGCCGAGATGGCTCAGTTGAAAGAGCCTGCGACTCTTGATCTCAGGGTGGTGAGTTCAAGCCCCATGTTGGATGTAGAGATTACTTAAATAAATAAAAACTTAAAAAAAAAAGTATGCTGAGTGAAAGCAGTCAGACACAAAAGGACAGATTGGGTGTGGTTCCACTTGAATGAGGTATTGAGAACAGGAAAATTCATAGAGACAGTAAGTACATTAGAGGTGACCAGGGGCTGGGAGGGGAGGGAAAAGAGGGGAGAATTATTGTTTCAAGCAATTTTTTAACACTTATTTATTTTTGAGAGAGAGAGAGAGAGAGGGAGAGAGAGAGAGAGGGAGAAAGAGAATGAATCGGGGAGGGGCAGAGAGAGAGGGAGACACAGAATCCGAAGCAGGCTCCAGGCTCTGAGCTGTCAGCACAGAGCCGGATGCGGGGCTCGAACTTGTGAACTGCGAGATCATGACCTGAGCCGAAGTCGGACGCCCAACCGACTGAGCCACCCAGGCGCCCCAAGGGGACAATTATTGTTTAATGGGTACAGAGTTTCTGTTTGGAATGATGAAAAAGCTCTGGAAATAGGGGCGATGGTTGCATCACATTGTGAATGTATTTCATGCCACTGAGTTGTACTCCTAAATGGTAAATGTTATGTTATATATATTTTTACCACAATTTAAAAAAAAAAAAATTTTTTTTTTTTTTTTTTAAGCATCCTGACTGCTGTGTGGAGGTGAATGGTGGCTCCCCTGGTCATCAAAATCAAATTCCCTCCTTCCATTTTCCCCCGCCATGGGAACATGCTGGGAAAAACAGGTAGTGTTAACAACACCCTGGGTCTGCTCTTCAAAGACTCCCACCTTTGTCTTGTGCTCAGCCCACCAGGAGATCTGAAGCCCCTGGGCACCTAGGTGGGCATCTGAAAGATGCAAGCTTGCCTTGATCAACCCGACCCAGCTGGTCCAGGGAAAGCAAGTCCCCCAGAACACTTCACTGCTCTTGAAGCTCACAGCCACCATTCTGGGGTCACCGGACAAGGCATGGCCGCGTGGAGGGCTTTCAGTTGAGGACGGCAGCACCACGACAGCCAATGCCCCTGGGAGGGAGCCCTCCCAGATCCCCGAGCAGCCACTGGGTACCAGGAAGAGGAAGAGGGCAGGTGCAGGGCCCGGCCGGGACTGAGTAGCTCTCCCTTGGAAGGAGGGAAGTGGAAATTCCATATTCCTGGATCCTGGGGATCCGTTTTCATGTCTATATCCTCCGCATGCCATCAGCCAGCCAGCTGCTTAAGGGCTCCTCTCTGAGACTTGGTCTGGCACACAGCAGGGGTATGTGTGGGTGCTTGGGACAAATGTGATGAGTGAGTGAGTGCTGGAGGCCACAGATGCCAGCGAGGGAGCCCAGGGAGGCCCAGCCACTGCCCAGGGTGACCCACAGGAAGTTGGTGGCTGAGCCAGGGATTGGCACCGGGTACCTCTCCCAGCCCTGCCCTCTCCCCTGGGGCCTCAGTCTCTGGCCCTCGGGGGTGGGAGGGAAGGAACAGCTGTGGAGTCACACACCGGCTCTCTCTCTCCATGGGGAGTTTTTTCTTTCCTGCCGTCTTCTCTCCTCCCTCTCTTCCCTTTCTGGAACATCTGATTAGAGAACTTTGAAAGCTGAGCCGTCTTAGGATCAGGTTGCCAGATTTAGCAAATAAAAATACAGGATGTTCAGTTAAATGGAAATTTTAGATAAGCGACAAAGAATTCTTTAGTGTAAATCTGTTTCGTGTGATATCTGGGTCATAACCCAGTTCGGGAAAATGGCGCCTTCCCCTCCATGGGCTCCCCCTGCACGTGGCCGGGCCACCCGGCTGAGCCGCTGTTCCTCCCATGGCACACCCTGGACCAAACCCGGAGGCTCTCTGCTAGGTCCCAGCCTGTCTGAGCTTCCGAGAGCAGGAGCAAGCCAGACACCTGCTGCAAGATGTTGCAAAAGAAATGGGGAAGCTGTTCAGACAGGGGAGAGAACAGGAAACCCCTGGGGCCACAAGAGAGGAAATCAGTGCGGTGGGAGGGACGGGGGAGGGAGGCGGGTCCACGACAGCAGCCCTGTCGCCCCCACCTCCAACCCCTTGGCTGCACGGGGGCCCAGCACAGAATAGGAGCCATGAAGGCTCCAGAAAGCAAAGAGCCACTGACTAAGAAGACATATGTCACGTCCACAGTCAGCTGCACGACACTGTGATTTGGTCTAGACGCCTGGTTCCTATGTGCCTCAGCCTTGCTCAGGTGCCTGTACGGTGGGATCCAGCTACAAGCCCAGGTCCTCGGAGCGGGGAAGGTGACTGAGGCCTGTTCCTGAAAAGACGGACCCATCTCTGGGGAGCCCGGGACCAGCGCCCTGTGCCAGAGCCGTGCTAGGTCACAGGCCAGGGCCCTGCCTTGCATCCCTTGGCCCCGGACCCCAGACCCCAGCTTCCCTGTTTCCCTTCTCTGCCGGGCTGCACCTGTGCCTCCGGGCCTCCTGGTGGGGTCCCGATGATCTCCTGAGTATCTGGCCCTCCACACCAAGGCCTGTGCAACAAATGTGAAGCTTGTAGTGTTGGCTCAAACTGCAGAACTATACCAAATATTCCATTTGCTCAGACTGTCCACTCCTAGCTCCCTGCATTATGGGAGGCACCGGCCCAGTCACTGAGGACCGGCTTTGCCTTGAGCTTGAGCTGGTCAAGTGATAACCAGTAATTCCAGAATGCTATTGTACACTTTCTCTTTCTTTCTCTCTCATACATACTATATAATTATGTATTATATATAAATATATTATATACGTGTGTAAATATTATATATATGTGTGGGTATACTCTATAATTATGTATTATATATATTATATATGTGTGTATATTACATACGTATGTATTATATATGTGTGTGTGTGTGTATATATATATATATATACATATATATATATAAATATATACAACATGTATTTTAGTATATGTGACTCTTCCTTTTTTTTAAAAGTATTTATTTGGGGCGCCTGGGTGGCTCAGTCGGTTAAGCGGCCGACTTCAGCTCAGGTCATGATCTCGCGGTCCGTGAGTTCGAGCCCCGCGTCGGGCTCTGGGCTGACAGCTCAGAGCCTGGAGCCTGTTTCAGATTCTGTGTCTCCCTCTCTGACCCTCCCCCGTTCATGCTCTGTCTCTCTCTGTCTCAAAAATAAATAAACGTTAAAAAAAAAAAGTTAAAAAAAAATAATAAAAGTATTTATTTAAGTAATCTCTACACCCAATGTGGGGCTTGAACTCACAACCCTGAGATCAAGAGTCACATGCTCTTCTGACTGAGCCAGCCAGCACATCGACTCTTCCTCTCTTTTTATAAGCTTTGTGGACATTATTATAGTGTGTCACAAAATTAACAAATGTTTGGTATAATGATGTAAACAGAGTAAAAATAAAAACTTCATCAGCTGTCCTCTGCCTCCAGTCTTACCCCTTGCAGTGATCTGTCAATGTTTGTTTGTTTGTTTTTAGTTTATTTTTATTTTTTATTTATTTTTGAGAGAGAGTGCACGAGCAAGGGACGGGAAGAGAGAGAGGGAGACAGAGGATCCGAAGCAGGCTCCACACTGACAGCAGCTCGATGCGGGGCTCAAACTCCCGAATCGAGAGATCACGACCCGAGCCGAAGCTGGTCACTCAATCAACTGAGCCACCCGGGTGCCCCTAACGGTCAATGTTAACAGTGAGCTATGTGTCCACCTACATCATCATGCTCATGTAAGTAATCACACACATACACATACACATGACTTTTCTCCCTTTTTTCTTTTAGATGAAAACGGTAACCGGGATTACATTCAAAACCTAAACAGTGGCTTCACTGAGAAATATGTTGCCTCTTTCTCAGGTAACAACAAGCTTGGGGTCACATAGTGCACGGTGCCATGGCCGTGAAGCCGCATGCTCCATGCCTTTATGCTTCCCCATCCTGAGAGTGTGACTTGGGTCCCCACAGTCACAAGACAGCCCTGCCCTCCGGGTACCAAGTCTGTTCCACGCAGGAGGAAGAAGGCAGGCACAAGGGGACAGGCACGTACCGGCTGACTCTGGTTATACATGTAGTACATGCTACTAGAAAACCAGTAACTTTCCTGTGGATTTCTGCTTACATCTCATTAGCCAGGAACATGTCACGTGGTTGTGCCTGGCTGCTGCGAGGGAAGCTGAGAAACCGAGATTTTAGTGTTTTGGTGTTTTTGGTTTTGTTTTTTGAGAGACTGCAAGCAGTGGGGGGTCGTTAGAGAGAGAGGGACAGAGGATCTGAAGCGCTGACAGCAGCGAGCCCGATGTGGGGCTTGAACTCAGGAACCACGAGATCGTGACCTGAGCCAAAGTCTGACGCTCAGTCAACTGAGCCACCAGGTGCCCCGAGATTTTAGTTTGGGAGCTGGAAACATGATCTGTGAATAAGGAGGAAGTGGAGGAGAGATGTTGAGGAGTTACATCCAGCAATGGCTCCCACAGATACCATACACGTGATTCTACAACCGTTTTGCTCCCCGCTTGACAAGCTGTGGATCTTTCCAGATTGACACTACGGACCTGTCAAAAACTGCGCAACGGTCCCACAGAATGGTATCACCCTCATTTCTAATTATGCCCAATATTTTTCTGAGGCAAAGGCAGTGGCAATAAACATCCTCTAGATACATCCTTCGTTGCTTCTGTGTCTGAAGTTAAGATTTCCCCTAAGTGGCTTACTGAGTGGAAGAGTTGGCGTGTCTCTTGCTCTCCATTTTGCTGTGAAACAAGAGCCCTGAAACTTAATAGCTTAGCAACCTTACTGGAGCGGGGGCACCTGACTGGCTCAGTTGGTACGATATACAGTTCTTGACCTCGGGGTCGTGAGTTCCACCCCCCTGCTAGGTGTAGAGTTATTTTTTTGCTTGTTTGTTTTTAATTGATTTTTTTTTTAATAAATTAAGGAAAAACACACTTACTGTCTAGTATTGGTTCTGAGGGTCAGGAATCCAGGAGCAGCTGGAGGAGTGCTTCTGGCTGTGAGCGTCCCAGGAGCTTGCACTCCAGCCATGGTTGGGTAGCAGTCACCTCCTGGAATCGGGGCAGGAGAATCTGTTCCCAAGCTCGCTCACGTGGCTGTTGGCCAATGGCTTCACTTTCCCAGCATCTGGGCCTCTCCACGGGGCTGCTCACATATAGCAGCATGATTCCCCCTGGAAAGAATGATTTAAGAGAGAAAGTGAGCACCCGAGACAGAACCACCGTCTTTTTCATGACCTAATGTCATCACTTCAGCCTTATGCTACTGATTACACGCAACAGCTCTTGTATAATTCAGGGGAGGACTACACAAGAGTGTGAACCTTCGGGGTGGGGATGCTGGCGGCCATGTTCCCTCAGTGGCTGGCTAAATATACGGGGGCACATATTCTTTTATATTGCCTTTTCCTTTTTCCTATTATTATTTTTTTTTTTTAAGTTTATGTATTTACTCTGAGAGAGAGAGAGAGAGAGAGAGAGAGAGAGAACATGAGCTGGGGAAGGCCAGATAGAGAGGGACGGAGGGAATCCCAAGCAGGCTCCACACTGTCAGGGCAGAACCAGATGTGGGGCTTGATCTCACGAACCATGACTTACCTGACTGAGCCACCCAGGCGTCTGCCGTTTTGTTTAAACCTTACTTTGATTGAAAGTGTAATACATGCCAATTTCAGAAAAACTTGAAAACACAGAAAAACAGGAGAAATCTCAAACACCTCTAACCCCACCACTGAAAGATACTTGCAACTTACATTTTTATTCATTTCCTTCCACTCTTTCTTCTGTGCGTGTAGTGCTTCTGTGCTGGGATGTTTTTGTCAGATAACAAAAACCACCCTGACTCAAAAAAAAGCTAAAATGGAAGGAAAGCTATTAACGGCCTCAGGGAACAGGAAATCTAGAGACAGTCAGATGTCAGGGCTGGTGGAGAACAATGACATTCTCAAGGACCCAGGTGATTTTCCTCCCTTCCAAACACTGACTTCATCTCCAGGGCCTTTCAGGCAGGAAGATGATGGAGGGGCTGAAAGTCTCCTTTTCAGTCTGATTTGCACACACCCACTCCTGACCCAGATGCTATCACTGGGAATGCTACAGGCTAAGTGAGCAGTGTAGACTTGGTTACATGGTGGGATTACCACCATTGACTTAGAGCAATCACCCCCAGAGCTGGGTCAGTTTCCCCTGAGTCACATGGTCTTTTAGGTTGAAAGAAGAGGAAAAGGAGGATGTGTGGCAACAGTGTCTCCTACACAAATAGATTGACTTAGTCGATGAGATATAATTTCATATCCTTATTATTTCAAATGATTGTAATACTATAAACATATTTTTTTAAGATTTTATTTTTAAGTAATCTTTACAACCAACATGGGGCTTGAACTCACAGCCCCGAGATCAAGAGTCGCATGCTCAACTGACTGAGCCCACCAGGAGCCCCTGAACATATTCTTTATGGTTGAAATGTTTATAAATAAATGGCCATAGAATAGTCCAACAAGTTATATAGTATAACTTACTTTTTACAACAGCTTATTGAGACACAATTCACCCATTTAAACTGTACAATTCAATGGTTTTTAGTATATTTCCACAGTTGTGCAACTATCATCACAATTTTCTTTTCTTTTCATTTTTGAGAGAGAGAGAGACAGAGAGAGAGACAGAGCTCAAATGGGGAAGGGACAGAGAGAGAGGGAGACACAGAATCCAAAGCAGGCTCCAGGCTCTGAGCTGCCAGCACAGAGCCTGATGCGGGGTTCGAACTCATGAACCGTGAGATCATGACCTGAGTTGAAGTCAGACGCTTAACTGACTGAGCCACGCAGGTGCCCCTATCATCACCATTTTCAACATTGTCATTCCCTCAAAAAAAAACCCCTCATACTTACTAGCAGCCACACTACATTTCAAGCCCCATAGCACCTGGCTTCTCTCACTTAATACAGTATTTTCAAGGTCGATCCCTGTTGTAGCATGTTTCGGTATTTTATTTCCTTTCATTGCTGAATAATATTCCATTGTGTGAATATACCACGTTAAAAAAGTCTATTGATGAGTTAATGGACATTTGGGTTGTTTCTGGTTTTTTTGGCTATTATAGAGATTGTCTTGGGGCGCCTGGGTGGCTCAGTCGGTTGAGAATCCAACTTCGGCTCAGGTCATGATCTCACAGTTTGTGGGTTTGAGCCCCACATCAGGCTCTGTGCTGACAGCTTGCTCAGAGCCTGCAGCCTGCTTCAGATTCTGTCTCCTTCTCTCTCTCTGCCCCTCCCTGCTCATGCTCTGTCTCTCTCTGTCTCTCAAAAATAAATAAATGTTAAAAAAAATTTTTAAAAAAAAGATTGTCTTATTTCATTCAGGCTACTATAAAAAAAATGCCATAGGGGCGCCTGGGTGGCGCAGTCGGTTAAAGCGTCCGACTTCAGCCAGGTCACGATCTTGCGGTCCGTGAGTTCGAGCCCCGCGTCGGGCTCTGGGCTGATGGCTCAGAGCCTGGAGCCTGTTTCCGATTCTGTGTCTCCCTCTCTCTCTGCCCCTCCCCCGTTCATGCTCTGTCTCTCTCTGTCCCAAAAATAAATAAACGTTTTTAAATTAAAAAAAAAAAAATTTATGTTTATTTATTTTTGAGAGAGACAGAGCATGAGTGGGGGAGAGGCAGAGGGGGAGGGAGACACAGAATCTGAAGGAGGCTCCAGGCTCTGAGTTGTCGGCACGGAGCCTGATGCGTGGCTCGAACTCGCAAACCATGAGATCATGACCTGAGCTGAAGTTGGACACTTAACCCACTGAGCCACCAAGCCCCACCACAGAGATCTCTACTGTGACAATATGACTGTGCCTCGTTCGTGTACACCTGCTTTCACCAAACACAACCGAGCCATGCTTGACATCCTTTGTCAGCAAAGGGGATTTGAGAGACGGACCTGTGTGTGGACAATGACATGAGGACAGTAGCAGTGGGAGGTCACACTTCAAGAGTGCTGCCTCTGTGCCAGGCCCAGCTCTAAGCACCTGCTGAAGACTAACACAATTAAAGCTCATAACAATCCTTTGAGGCGATGCTTTTGTTTGCTCCCTTTTGCAGCAGACAAAACTTGCCCAAGGTGACACAGCCAGTGACGAGCAGAGTCTGGATTTGAACCTGGAGCTGGAGTGCTTAGCTATCGTGCTATTCCCTCCCTCTACAAAACTATCAAAACAGAACAAATAAAGTGCTACAGCGGTAAATACGGTAACAATAAATAAATAAGACTCAGGCAGTGGGCATAGGGTCCTGCAGAAGAAGTTCACTCTACCTGGTGGAGTTGAGTTTCCACTGAGCCTTGAAAAAAGAATTCACTAGAACCCAACAATGGGAAGGTTGTTTCAAGTCGGTGTGACAGCAGACAGCCGTGCAGGGGCTCACGGTGTGCAGTTAGCATCGGGCTATATGTTACAGAAGTGCTCTCCTTAAAATCATAGGGAGGAGGAGCTACACAGAACAATTTTCTTTCTTTTTTTAAATAATTTTATTTATTTTAAGAGAGACGAGAGAGAGAGAGAGAGAGAGAGAGCACACACACGTGAGTGGGGAGGGGCAGAGAGAGAATCCCCAGCGGGCTCTGCACTGTCAGCACGGAGCCCGATGTGGGGCTCCACGCAGGTTTGAACTCATGAAATTGAGATCATGATCTGAGCTGAAGTCAGAAGCTCAACTGACTGAGCCACCCAGGTGCCCCCACAGAAGAATTTTCTTAATCATTATGTCTTCTCTCTCTGCTCATTTCAATTGCAACTGAAATAACATTTTATTTAAACCAAAAATATTTTGGGGCGCCTGGGTGGCTCATTCGGTTAAGCGTCCGACTTCAGCTCAGGTCACGATCTCGCGGTCCGTGAGTTCGAGCCCCGCGTAGGGCTCTGGGCTGATGGCTCAGAGCCTGGAGCCTGCTTCCGATTCTGTGTCTCCCTCTCTCTCTCTGCCCCTCCCCCGTTCATGCTCTGTCTTTCTCTGTCTCGAAAATAAATAAACATTTAAAAAAAAAATTAAAAAAAAAATA